TGCTATGGCTGAAACTGCTGAAAAGATTGAATCTATTGAATTGAAAGTGTTTGATAATATATTGACTGTTATGGCTTATTGAATGTAAAATTACCATAAACGATATTAATTTCTTGATGTTTTCAATACATTTGATTACAACTCACCCCTACCCCTCAACCCTTATCTGCCACAAAATACCCCACACCTTCATAAAAGTGTTTTGAAACACACAAAATATTTAGAATTCAAAATTTTAAATATGAAGAAAATTGAATCACCAATGAGTTTACAAAAATCACAACAAATTCAAAATACAAAATAAAGCACAAAAAGTCTTGGTGTACACCCTGGGTTACACCCTGGGGTACACCATATAAATACCTATAATTTTACAGAGTAGTTTACCCCTCCTCACCCATGTGCCTTCACAGTCAGCCCCCTCTTCTCTCCTTGACTTCTGTATTACGAGAGTTCCCATTCTCCCGACCTTCCTCCGTTTTTTTCTTTTTTAATTCAATTGATGGTTATTCTCTCTTTTTTATCTTAGATGGAGGGCCGGCAGGATATATTACTGCGAACCAAAGCGGAGTTGCAATGAAGGACACACCAGTGAACAAAACAGGAACTGCAGCCAGAAATGGAGGTGCGGCCGGAACCGTGGTCTGAACGATGTAGATGCGAACAACGACAGAGGTGCGACTAAGAGCACACTTGTGAACGGAGAAGGAGCTGCAGCCAAAAACGGAGGTACGGCGGAAAACAGAGATATAACTGAAAAAATGAACAAATAAGTGATTGTGTGTGTGTTCAAATTGCAGTGTTTGTGTGGTAAGATGGTTTGGCTTAATGTTGTCTGCGAGTTGTTATGTAAGAGTAGCGAAGTGTCTGTGAGGTTGTTGTGTGAGTTATAACAAAAGTCGAAGCTTGGCCGGGGAAGTAAACAACACAGTGTTGGTGTGCACAGACGAATGAATGTTTTCAAAGTGATTTTACCGACAACTAGTGTCGGTGTGTATAGGCGAATAAAAGTTTTCTGAGTGATTTTACCGACAACTAGTGTCGGTGTGTACAGACGAATGAAAGTTTTCTAAATGATTTTACTGACAACTAGTGTCGGTGTGCACATACGAATGAAAGTTTTCTGAGTGATTTTACTGACAACTAGTGTCGGTGTGAATGAAAGATGTGTGTTGAAAACTTATTTGTGAACTCACAGACAATTGCGGTCAAACCATAAGGTTATACTGACACTGCAATTCCAAATGCTCACACACAACCTATTAAGGGTTCTAACTTCTATTTTTTTATTTTTAAACACAAAAACTGAAATTGACAAAATGGTAAACACAGTTATCACTATATTCAACTCCAATACACAATAAAAAACCTAATGAAGAAGACTCATAGACAACTCGTAGCAACAAACTAATGCTTCTAAAGTTAAATATACGACAATACAAAACCAAAACATTATAAATAGATATATGACCCTTCAAATAACAACTATTTTATTCTATAGTTCACAAAAATTTGGTGCACAGAAACAGTTTAGTTCCAACACACCACCCGTTCATGCTTATAACTTCTTCATTAATTAAGTATCCAATACAAAGTCAAATCGATTTTATTAAACTGAAATATAAGCCTACAAAAACAAAAATAAATAAATATGGATATATGACCCTTCAAAGAACAGGTAATTTCTTTTACAATTCACAGATATTTAGCTAATTTAACACAACGGCTCCACAGACAACGCGTACTCAAATCTGTTGGTGCACACAAACAGTTTAGTTCCAACACACAAATATGAACGGTGCACAGACAACTACTACTAAAATCCTAGGGTCACACAAACACTACAATTGCTATTTTTTTTACTTTTCCAACACAAAATAAAACACAAAAGATCTAGAGATAACTTCATACATACCCTTCGGCCATTTCAGACAGACTTGTTCGCACCATGCTCGCAACTCTGGGGTATTCTACAATGGCGCCTTCTCCCTGGGGTCTTCGTCTTCAACTAGGGTCTTTGTCTTCACTTCAAGCATCGTCCTCTTCATTGTGTGGATGGAGAATGAAGAGGGGATGGAGGAATCCGGACTGCCGACGTCTACAAAATGGGGATGAGGATGAATGAAGAGGATGAGGAAGGCGGATCAGAGCGGGAAGATTTGGGAACAATTGGGATGCGGAAAGGGGAGACTATTCTCGAATGGGAGAGAGGCTTTTTTTTTTTAATTGAAGATATGCGTGAGTGTGTGAAAGGTGTGGGAGGATGGGGTAAATTTTTTTTGTCCTTATATATGGTGTACCCCAGGGTGTAACCGAGGGTGTACACCAAGACTTTTTGAATAAAGCAAGCCTATAATTTCATGCCACTTAAGAAACAAGACATGCGGCAACTTATGAGACCCAAGCTTAGAAAGTTGAGAAAGAATCGAATTTGAACTTTTGGAGCAGTGGAACTCGAAGGCTTTAAAAAATGATAAGTACGTACGTATTTCACTAACTTAACAGCAAAATAATAAGTTTCAACCAAAGAAGTAACTTTAAGGCTACTTTTTGAGCTGATAATAAGAATCAGTCAAACCAGCCCATTAAGAGGTTGTTTGGTGATTTTTTTTTTGCATTATAAAGCTTATAAGCTGATTTTGACTCCTCTAAACGGGCACTTAATGTGTATTTGGATGGAAGAAACGACATTTGAAATCATGAAAATCAACTTTTAATAATTTAGTTATTTATTTGATTTATAAAGTATTTGAGGAGGTCAAATAAAACGGATGTAAGAATATACGGATTATATAATCAAGTGTCAATCACAATAAACATAAAAGTAACGACAATTAAACATGTAATTTTAACATGAAGTCAATCTTTATTACGGAGTATCTTTTTATATATCATTGACTAAATAAACGAATGAATAATGACTAATGAACAATGACCTTTTACATAGTTGGCAAGTTAGGATTTTAAATCTAGGGAAAACTGTCAAATAGTTCCTTGTACTTTCATAAAAAGGTCAATTAAGTCCTTCTATAGGAGGTTCTGTCCGGCCGTCGCGATTTGGGGCATTTCCCGGTGGAATTTTTTGATGAAATGTTTTGAGCATCTTATTCACCAAGTCTTGTTTATTCATCCTAAATTTCAGCTAAAAATTCAATCGGGAACACAATCAAATTAATTCTTGAAGATAACTGCGCATTTTTGCGTTCTCGAATTAATTTGAATGCGCTCCCGATTAAATTTTTAGCTGAAATTTGGTATGAGTAAACTAGACTTGATGAATAAGATGCTCAAAAAATTTCATCAAAAAATTCCACCGGGAATCGCCCCAAATCGCGAAGACCGGACAGAGTCTCCTATGGAAGGACTTAATTGACTTTTTTATGAAAGTTCGAGGACCTATTTGACAGTTTTCCTTTAAATCTATTACGGAGTATCTTTTTATTTATCATTGACTAAATAAACGAATGTGCTGCCCTTCCTTTAAAACTTATTCTTTATAATTATTTGTGTTTGTAATATTATTCTTATTTTATACTTCATTTGTGTCTATCTATATGACTCTACTTTATTCCAAATGTATCTATTAAGAAGATTACGTGACTACTTTACCCTCATTTACAGTCACTAAGTTTTAGGGAGTGTTTGCATTTGATTAAAAAAAATGCTTTTCAGCTTTTGGCTTAAATAAAGTTAAAAAGAGTGTTTTCAAATGACAACTTCTGCTTAAATTAATCACTTAAAAGCTAAAAGCTGGAAGCAGGTGGAAGGGTGCTTTAAACTGCTTTTCACTTTTTCTATTACACAAAAAGTACTTCTTTTACCAAACACTACCAACTTTTACTTTTTCAGAATCACTTTTTCTTCAAACACTACCAACTTTTACTATTAATCACTTTTCCCAAAATCACTTTAAAAAATCACTTCTTTAAAGTTGAAGCAATTGCAAACACTCCCTTAGTACGGAGTACTAGCTAAATTAGGTAATTTGTAAATATTACTCCGTACTACGTATTTCAGTTTTGCATCGCTTCCCTACGAATTAGAAGCTACTGCAGATTGCCTCTTTTTAGTGAATTCACCACTTCGGGTTAAAAATTGAAGTGTTGAGTATACCCAAATATATTTAGCTTATCCTAGGGTGAAGGGGTTCGTTTCTTATGTTTACTTTATTCCTTTATTTCTTGAATGAATCATTATAATATTTTTGTTGAATGAAAGGTTCATTGCCAATTTACCAGGAAAATTCACGAAATAGGAGTAAAAAATTTTGAAAATTTGTTTGTTTGGATAGAGTGAAGTTAAGTAAACCTAGTGCAATAAAGTAAACCTAAGTTTTAATAAAAACTAGGTTAACCTAAGTGAACCTAGATTCATGCTTAAAATAGTGTTTGGAAATAAATAAGGTGAACCTAGGTTAATGAAATAAATGTTGTTTGGATGAAGGTACTTTAGCTCATTTTATGTTAACCGAGAATTTATCTCCAAAACTCCCCGTTTCGGAGGTTCTTCAATATAAGATTTTTCTAGGTTCTCGAGAGTTAAGTGAGGTTAACTCATAACCTAGGTTCTTGTTGCAAAAACACAAACAAATAAGGTTAATTAAAAATTGAACCTGCAATAACCTAGGTTAACCTCCAAACAAACAGGCCATAAAATGAGACTGTCATATTTTTACTCTCAAAGTAGAAATAGTAACTGTCAAAAATACCATCACGTTTAAAGTATGTCACTATGTTGTTGTCAAAACATGACATTAATTAATCTTATTTTAGGAATAAAAATGTTATTCATATTTTCGAGTATACAAACGTTTTTAGACTTTAGGATTATTTACCGAGATAATATTATATACCATGCGAGTTTGACCCACCATAAAAAATTCTTGATAGTCCCATTCATATATGATTATATGTTAATATGTAACCATCAAGATGGCATTATCTTATCTATTTGGATCACCCATGTAGTAAGCTACGTACGTAGTAGTATTTAATAAAACATGAGACAACAAGATATTGCAAGCCGGCCAGTAGATAGAAATTAATTGATAATCTCAAGTTTAAAATAAACTATTAATGCACACATGAACCAAACGTTAACAGTAAGCCAAGGGTAGATATATGTAATATGGAAAAGAAAAGGAAACAAAGAACAAAAGAACAAAACAAAAAATGGCAACCTTGACGAGTTACGCATGTAAATTATGTAATACAGCTATATATACTACTGCGACAATGCTACTTCTTCAGAGGCTGAGTTGTGAGGCCAAACCCGAAAGGGAAGAGCGGATCATAATGCTTGTCTCCTACATTCATCGGGAGCTGGTCAACCGTCTTGAACCATGTTCGGGCAAGCTTGCCTGTGAATCCATAGTCCCCAAACAAGGCATCAGTGACCCCCTGCCCTTCGGTTCCAGGCAGCCACGCCGCAACAAGAGCATCTATTTTTTCAACATAAGGGGCAATCACAACAGGCCGTCCCGAAATCACAAGCACCACACACTTGATTGACCCACAAACATTGTCTATAGTTACATTGCCACCCGTTCCCGTTATAGTTAGGTTCGTGCTATCACCATACATTTCTGCATATGGGGGCTCGCCCACGACCACAATGGCATACGAGAAATTATTGGACTTCACAAAGTTGGTGTCTGGATTCTCTTGGTACACAACTTGCGTTGAAGGATCAACCGTTTTGTTTATCGCACTTAAAATGGTGGTTCCTGTTAAACAAAAAAACTCATATATCAACACCAGGATCTAGTCTTTTTTACTTTTTTGCACTATTTTGTTTTTATTTGAACGGATCTAATAGCTTTTTGGGATGGAAAATGGTTTTACATTACAATAAAAAGGAGATTGAAAAGAAAGGGATAGATGATTATTTGGGATGGCAAAAGGTTAAATACCAATGGTGCGGTTATTGCCATTAAAGCCTTGCCATTCAACAGTCCAGCCACCGCATTGGTATCCCAAGTTGTGTGCATGACTTCCAGCAACAAGAATCTTGTGTGCTTTCTTGGGAAGGGGAAGTAATGGATGTGTGGAACTCTTTCCGTTCTTTAGAAGCACCAACGATTTCCTCACAGCTTCCCGCGCCAAGTCCCTGTGCTCCTATTATTATCATGGTTGTCACAAAGTGTAAAAACAAACTTCTTTAGTTTTATAAAACTGACCGGACCCAAGACTAAAAGTAATTAGTTTCTTTTATCCCCCAGAATCTGACAACAAATTTAAACACCATGAATTATGTCTACTAACTCCACCTGGAAGGGTCCAAATTTATATGGAGTAGTAACATTTCTCACATATTAAACCATTCTGGACAATTCATGTAACACACACATAAGGAAGGCATTCAATATAAGTGACATGTATATATTCTTATTTACCTGGCTTCCAAGTTGGTTGGCAAGGCTATGATCAGCCAATGGATTCTCAAAGAGACCCATGCCAAACTTGACCCTCAGTATCCTCCTCACAGCATCGTCAATTCTACTCATTGGAATCACTTTCTTATTCACCAGATCAGTCAAATTGCCAATGTAATCTTTGTAATTCTGAGGGACCATGACCTGCATCACCCAATCGTGTTAAGAGTCAACAACTTTTGCCTTGACACATTTTTAAACTAAAAGTTTCACTTTTGTCCTGCGACGATTCTGCGATTCTAACTTGTTGGTCTCCAACATTCATTATTGTTTCCTCTTTTAGTGCACGATTGTGCTGTGGCATATTGGCTTAGCTAGAGAGGGCGCCTTTTAAAAAGTCAAATTTAGTGTTTGTTGCAAAACAATGTATCCATATAGACATACATATGGGTTCTTTTCATACAAAGTGTGTTCTGGAAATCCGGCCTTGATAAAAAAATTAATCACTGTTTCTTAAGAAAGAAAATATTTCTGTAAGCTAAAATCATGTTGTTCTGCAAAACATTTTTCCTAGAACATTAATCTCAAAAACAGTATTGGGCTCACCATGTCAATCCCAGCAAGAATCCCAGCTTGTACCGAATAAGTGTAATTAGCCTTAGGCGGGTTGGTAATTCTATCAATGCCCTCCCAATCTGAAATCACAAATCCCTGCAAACACACACACACATCACGCACAATACATTTAGTTAAGATTCATAACCTGCTTGGTAAAGGTCACTTTTAATTTATAGATAAAGTAAGGAAGAGTTATATATACAAGTGACCCTCTTCAGAAACTTCAACAAAAACAACAAAAGTATATTTTAGGGCTTTTCTTTTGTTGATTATTATTGACGTATTCCATAAAACTTAGTGATTGTTAATTAGGAAGATCAAAATAACTATACAAAAAAAAATGAAGCTTACCCTGAACTTGAGCTGGTTCTTGAGGAAGCCAGTGACAAGTTTGCCGTTAGCATGCATCTTATGGCCGTTAATGCTCGAGTAAGAAACCATAACGGTAGCAACACCTTTCCTGATGGAATCATAATATGCCGGCATGTGAATGCTGAACAGCTCCGTTGCGCCTATTACCGTGTTGTTCTCATCAATCCCCCTAACTGTTCCCCCGTCACCCACAAAATGCTTCGCACATGCTGCTACTTTGTTCCTTTTCACACACACAAACACATGATTTACATAATCAGAATTGCATTACCTATTCAAGTAACCCTTATCTGACAGAGGCAGTTTGGTGATATTAAAAAACAATACATAGTATCAAACTTGGGGTTGCACCTAGTAATGCTGTTTTAGAGTGTGTATACTAAGATTTGAGATTATTTTTTTATATGTGGCTACTTAACATACCTCTATGGAATAGACCCAGGGCCGATCCTAACATTTTTTTGGTCCGAGTCGATTTTTTGTAAAAGGACCTTGAGTAATGTAAAATTTGGATATTAAGATTCATAAGCGGTAATTTAATTTATATGCCTACATCAAAAATTAAAACCCACATACTGCATGATATTATTTTGATTAAAAATATTTGTATTCTTGCTATTTTAATATGAAATACAAAAAATGTGTATATATAATACTAGTATACAATTATTTATGGGCCCATTTTTTTTACTAAAATTTTGGGGCCTGAGGCAATTGCCTCTTTGCCTCAACAAGAGGTTCGGCCCTGAATAGACCGATCTACAAAGTATTCGTTGTTTAGGCTTAATATGATCTAATTCCTTCTTGGAGCTTAATTGTCCTTAATACCACAGTAAGACTTGAAGTTTCATCCATACTAAAAAGTAACATGCATAATAAAAGGAGTAACCTCAAGTAATGTGGGATAGTTTAAGAGAATGCTTAGGCATCATGCTTGTCAATCCCCATTTAAGAGTCAAGGTCAGTTCGGGGAAAACAGAAAACATACTCTATTCTAAAGCAATTGTCAATTATTAAGGGGAAATTTTTTGTTTTCAAAGTAAAATATTTAATTTTAGTTGTTCTCTAGGTTTTGAAAAAATACTCTGTCATACACAAAAGTGGAATAAATATGGGATGACAGCTAATTGTCTGTTAGGGATGGGATATTGGGATGTGTTGTGAAAGCATTTTCAAATGAGGACTTCTTCCATAATAGCAAAAAAGTCAAGTCAGCAACATAAAGCTTTTGAAATTTTGAAAAGGATTTCTTATATGTTTCAAAAGTCATACCAAACACGTGCTTTTAGCTATTTTAAGTATTATGTTAAACTCTAATAAATTGTGAATAATGAGTACTATGTACCATTTAATTTGTGAGTGAAACACATTTAGTCATTGGAAAGATATTTTAGATAAGAGGGAGTAACATAGGAGGGAGGGAGAAGGGAACATACTTTCCAGCAACAAATGGAACACCATAGGAGTAATTAGCTGGGCGATCTCCTTGCAAACCAGGGATTAGCTCAGTCATCATTCGCACAATCTTGTGATCTTCACTGTAGCTTTCGTAACATCGTCCCCATCTCGGATCCCTACAAACCTATACATGCATATACAATTTAATATAATTCATAACCAAAACCAAAATAACAGTGACTTATCAGTCCTCAAATGAAACACACACACTAATATTAATTAAGCACAGAAGATCACACAGCAACAACTTACAGCAATGCAGGGAGCAAAAGCATATTGGATTCCTGTAGCTCTAACTTCAAGTGCAGTTGCTGCTCCAATCCTTTTCACTAGCTCCGGATCCCTGCTACATATATTTCACCATCATTCAAAATAGTATGCACTAAAAAGCAAAAAACAAAACAGTTCTGTTTAAACAAGATATACTTTTTTAAGTCCTGGTAAGGTACAAGTGTACAACTCTAAATGCTAAAATGATCATTGTCAACATGACCCTGCTATCTCTATCATTCCAAAAAGTATTGCTCCGGATTTCTTTTATACATAAGTTTTACTTATACGGTTATACCCTTCAATTTATTTGTTGGTTTGCCAAATTTTACTTATCTGTGTTGCATTTATTTTTTGAAATTAAAGCATGAATCTTGTAATATCACTACACATCTTGGTAGGTCAAGCAAGAATGTTGTAATATCAAAATTAGTTTTCCAAACACGAATCTTTTTTTTTTTAAAATGTGGATCATATTGATGGACAAAAACACTGCGGCTATCGATGAAAGTACTGTTATCAACTAAGAAAGTTCACTCTTTCCAAAGTGCACCATTTTTAAAACAGGAGTGCTACAAATATTACAAGTGTACTTGTTTTAAAATATAACATCCTCTGAGCTTAGTTTTGTTCTTTGGAAAATTACAACAATACTAACCAAAATTCAGGTTTAATAGAAAAAAGGTTTTTTTTTGGGAGAAAACTGGTTTTTCAAACATGTTTTTGGAAGAAGGTATTTAAAATCTTCCTAGATTGGAAAGCAGTTTATTTCCCTTCATGTTAATAATGTACTTGCCTGGTGGCACCAAGCCCAATATTGTGAGGAAAAATAGTAGCCTGGTAGACATTATTGTGGCCATGAACTGCATCAATTCCATAAATCATAGGAATCCCAAGACGGGTAGAAAGTGCCCCTTTCTGAAGATCATCCACCATGTCCATCCAATCTTCAGCTCTGGCATTTTGTTTAGGCACACTTCCTCCTCCACTCAAAACACTCCCTATCAAAATAGTCAAACCCTTTCTTTATTAATCATATTTAAAATCACAATTCAATTAACAACCATCTAATATACTCCTAACAATCTACTGTATTAAGAATATAAACACTAAAGCAACAAAACACACACCCCACACACTAGTAAACTGATCTTTAGTATCTTTTCAATGTTTAATCGGGAGAGAGGAAGCTGTTTGAGAAAATATGTACAACTATATTTATGGGTATTAAATGAATAACTATATTCACTTACAAGATTATAATTTTAGCTGAGATATTCAAACGGACGACTTTTGCTCTTCTCATTGAAAAACTACACATATACCAGACGACCACCGCAAGATTTAAAATCTTGGAAGAGAAGTGAAGTACATGAGATTAGGGGAGTTAATCAGGATTAGACAGGACTTGTTAAGGCTGGGGTTCTACATCGAAGGAGTAGGCCAAGATTTATATGATGTTCTTTAATTAGACCATTATAATCACCTTCACTGGAGAGCCTAACTCTGGAATGATCGGGGAGAGAGTGAGATTTTTTAGCCATTTAATTTCGATGCCTATATTTATGTCCAATTGTCCAAGATCCCATTTTTTTTTGTATTAAACGACATGGCAAAACAGAAAACACTGTTCTTTTCATTCAAAATACACTTGGAAAAAACGCCCAACAGCAAGAACCGAAATCTTTTGCAGACAAAAAAAGCATACCAATAAAATTAGATGGGTAATTTTAAGGAAATTTAAGGAAAATAAATAGATGGGTAATTTCAAGAACAATGTTTTCACCTACATTTATGTACAAAGATTGCTTTTTTATGCATAACAGAGCAGAAAACCCATTAATTGTTATAGGCATTCACAAAAATACTCCGGGGTATCTTAAAAAAAAAAGTCATACAACACCCGCATCCAAGCCTTTTTAGTAACAAAAGATTTGGAGCTAAAAAAAGCCATAAGTAAAATAGAAGTAAAAGTACACACCCATCGTCAGCAAGAAGTCAAAACTAACCAAACTAAAATATTTGAAGAGTATAATTTGCATACCGATGAAGTATTGCTTCATAACATCAGCAGTGGCAACATTCCTCTCAATCTGAGTCATCTGCCCGATTTTCTCCGCAAGGCTCATCCTTTTCATCAAATCTCTGATCCTAGCACCCAGTGGCTGCTTAGGGTCCTTGTACTTGAGGTATTCAGCGTCTGCCATGGCGGCCAGGAAGCACAAAACCAGCACAAGAAAGGCTGTCATAAAGGGTCGTGCAGATTTCCCCATTTTGGCTACCTCACCGGATGCGATTTTTCTGCAAGTATAGATGACTATTACAGTAGAAGGAGTTGTAAGTTACGTTCTTGTAATAACAAGTATATATATATATAGGCATTAATGCAGGCGATAGTTCAATTCTATGGTAGGATTGCGAGAGATAGAGTCCTATCAGGACACACTTGAGACTTGAGAGCCAGTTCTACCGTGGTAAGGATCTTGAGAGGCTGAGTTATATGGTTACCAGAACACGTGATAGTTTTAGTAAATTTGAGTTTGTACACTCTGTTTTGGACAATTCGTAGAAAATTCAACGAGCAAAAAAAAGAAATTTTAAAATATGATTGTCATGTTTAGTATGTTATGTTTGTTATATTTTTTCTAAACTTGGCGGAAATTACTTTTATTTATGAAATAAAAACATGAATACTTGTATTTTATTTTAGAATTTTAATTTTTTTAACTCTTATTTACGGCAATTTCTAATCTTTTATTCACCTTATTTGATTTGCTTAATTCATGTAGAAAATATTTTAAAAAAATAAAAATTGCATATTTAAAAAATAAGATGCATTTCGTATAAAAGGTGTATAAAATGTTAGCGGTCTGATTCTTTTTAGCATTTTCAATAACTTAAAATGTTGTTTATTAAATATATAGATGTTCAGCCTTAGCATTTTCGAACGAAACTGCTGAGATGAAAACGTCGCAAATTGCAGAGTTTTGATTTAGTATTTTGAAATACGATGTTTTTATTAATTGTTACGATCAAACAGCTGAATTATCAAACGTCTTCGGACAACCGCTAACTTATTCCACTAGTCAAACATGCAAACTCAATCTGTTACTCTTCAACCCATTAGCATAATCTACGGATAAAATATCGACGTTGTCATGATTATATTGATCAACTTGATCGATATTCCTAATTATGCATGATTACATATTTATAATTACATGAGTGTTGTTGACCGGGCATGAATGTACTACGTATTTTTTATGGACAATTCTTGGTGTACACAAGATGTACACAAAATGTGTACATTGTCTGTGTACACAGGCATTTGACATCAAGTCCTGCCACTTTTTAAATGAATTGTCTGTGTACACAGGCAATTAGGGGGGTTTTGTGTACAATTTGTGTACAACTTGTGTATACTAAGCATTTTCCATTTTTTATTCAATTCCTCCAAATACACTTAAAAATTGTAAGAACTTTTATTCTTAAATTTTTATCTAGTTAAATTTTATCGTTGATTGCGGTTAATCATTTATTAGATTGATATTCTTGTTTTTTGTGTTACAGATTTACAAATAACTCACAACAATATTAACCAGTTCATACTTTTGGTATACTTTTGATAACACACGCAACCCAATAAATGTGATACTACATCCGTCCCATCAAGATTGGGACGGAAGAAGGTGGCACGATTATTAAGAAAATTGGTTTTGTGTGGTTGATATTAAGAGCCCGTTTGGAGAACTCTGTTTTCGGCTTATCAGCCAGCTTTTTCACCTAACACGTAACTTTTACTTTCGCGCGCTGAATTGTGTAATAAGCCGAAAAAGTAAGGTTGGAGTTACTTTTCTGGCTGTATTGGCTGAAGTTACTGTAGAGGACCATTTTAGCTATTTTTACATATAATTTTTTCTTTAATTTATTAATAAAATATATTTTTAAAATATTTTTTTCTTAAATCAGCAGAATCAGCCAAAACAGCCACTCCAGCCAGAATATCATAAATTTCAGCAGAATCAGCCAAAACAGCCGATTTTGGTGCTACCAAACGGGCTCTAAATTGATAAAGTAAGAATAAAGTAAGAATGATTTAGAGCCACACAATCTTTACCAAATTTGGTATGAGACAGTCTTAGTGGAACTTCCCGAAAAGGTAAAATGGGACAATCTTAGCGGGACAGAGAGAGAGTACTACTTAATAGTCATTTGTTCTTATATAAGAACAAATTATGTACTAGAACCTAATTGCTAAATAAATAATGCGCGGGGCTGCCTTTTTAGAGGTGCAATACGTACTTGGCACCGGAGTCCACTCTTGTAGGAGGCCTCTATAATTTAGTATGTAGTACTTCGTATTAGTTATATGTTTGTTTTCCTAGATGTTATGTATTATTCAAGATTCCAAAATTTTTATACTTTTTAGATTGTCTAATTTGTGTACTTTAAACACTATAAAACATATTTTTCATTAAACAATCTAGTCTATTAGTATTTCATTGTTAAATTTGTATTTTTCTTGTTTTAGAGAGCCTCAATTCATCAATTGGAACTGAGACTTCAAAATTCATTAGACAGCCCTAATAATGCCTCTTTAAATCGTTCATTTGTTCAAAGAATCGAATAAATCCCTTCTAAAGAAGCAAGCAAAATATGCATTTCTAAGCCCCGTCCATTGGGTAGCTAAAGGTGGACGATTCATTCATCTTATATATTCTTCTTATGAGCAAATTAAAATAGATAGCTTTACTTACCTGTATGATAAAATGCATATTACCGAACTCTTTTCGTGTCTTTATATCACTATAAGGGTGCGCTTACTTAGGGTCATTTTAAAAATGGCTAACGTGGTACATTTTCTAAGAAGAAGTGCTCGGTAACGTTAATTTCAACAAAACAAGGTTACATACTTGCATTGTCAATGGATATCTTCAATGCACCGATGCACCGATGTGCACAATGCAGATACGTGATGAAAAAGATGTACAAATAAATAAATCAATAACATTTCTCATCTTTTTCACGATCTCATGATAATTTTTTCTCTATTATGTCTAATAAAACGTCTTATTATTTTTCCCCATAAGTTTTTTTAACATATCTCGTGGCAAATATAGATGCATTTTTCACCATAAGATGGACTGGCGCTCTGTAAACACCTCACTGGGTATGGTTCGAACAGTCCACTAGTTCCACAGTCATGGGCTCCATGCCTCCATATATATCCATACTCAATGCACCGAAAGCACAAATATTACAAAAAAAATGAAACACAATTATTTAATGAAGCATATATATGTATATATATGTGGATCAGATAATTAAAGTGCTAGGGGATGATAAATTGATAACGAAAACGCTGGTGTTTGGCTTTGTGCTGAAAAATAACAATGATGGAAAATGAAGTGCGATAAACGTACGTTCTTTAATTTTTTGTATTTAAATACTCAAATTTGACAAAATCAATTGAGTTACGTTTAGACAAATATATCCACAACAAATTTAATGAGTTTGAAAATACTCATATATAGTTTCTACTCACATTCCCCTTCCAAATACCTCTTTCATATTGTTCTTCTATATGTTCCTCTCATAGCATTTTAAGGGTTCCAAATAGATCATGTGAAATTACTTGTATATTGTTGTATTTTTGCCTTCCACGCACTTCCTAACCATTCATAGATGATGTGTGTGATTTGTGAAGTCCTAGGTGTTGAGCTTACCTGCTAGAAAATCAAATCAAATAATTCCATAAATTTTATGCATATTGTAATTGTGGGGAAAAATTAAGTTTGAGAATAAATACAGATCGAATACAACAGGGCTAGATTTCATTAATATCTAGATAGTATTACCTAGGGCTGTTAATCCTCTCTCCTTTTTCATCTTCAATTCCTCTATAGTTCTTGCATATATAATAAAAATTTGGCAATATACGTAGTATGATATAGTGCATGCACACGTTTATCTTCTGAATGGATTAATTAACAAACAAGAAATGTTAACTCGGGTTATGGAACAAATTCTTCCATTACTAACATCACGACTCCTTTAGGCAAAATTAGGCGGTATATTTTTAAGGGCATTTTGATAGTGGAAAGTATGTTTACATTTATATTCACCATTAATTTGATGAATTATTATGTAACGTAACTACTAACGGTAAGAGGTTAGGTAATACTAAGGCTGTTAACGAACCGAGATTTTATCGAACTATTCGAGTTCGAGCTCGATTTCGAACCTAACGAGCGGAGCTTAACAAGTTTTCGAACCGAAACTAAGCTGAGTTTTAAGTTCAAAAAAATTAATCGATAGTAGTATTCGGCTCAGTTCGAAATCAAGCCTATCGAACACCCTAAAATTATTAATATAATTTATATATAATCAAAATTTAAATATAATTAGTATGATTTTATGAATTTAAATATGATTATTAAAGAACCAAATACTTGTCGAATCATTCGAGCACGAGCCTATTAACGACATCACCTAAAATTTTAAATTCGACCATATTTATCGAGCTTATCGAGCATTCGGTTCGAAAATCGAATGCCTATCGAGCCGAACACGAGCCTCATTTGTAAAGCTTGTCGAGCTTCGAGCTCGAACCCGAACATCATTTCCTTATCAAGCCGAACTCGAGCTTTAGGTGTTCAGGCTCGGTTCAGCTCGTTAACAGCCCTAGGTAATACTATCTAGATATTACTCCCTCCGTCCACCAATTAAGTTCTCACTTTCCTTTTAGGGCAGTCCCTAAATTAAGTTCACACTTCAATACTTTCCTTATTTGGTAAATTATCTACATCAAAACAGTGCCAAACAGTGTCAAACAGTGTTTAAACAGTGCAAAACAGTGTTTTCCACAGTAAAGTCAATTTTTTTTTAATATGTGTGAATTCAAAACGTGAACTTAATTGAGGGACAGAGGGAGTACTAATTACAAGCATTTGGACAAATATAGGACCTCCTTCACTCAACTCCAAAAGAGTGACCATTCGGCAGCACCAATTTAAAAACCGGGATGGAAATATCATATATACCCTTTCTAGCAAACTATATACATTCTACCATGTGTTATACCTTGAAGAAATTTCCAAGATGCTAGCAAGAACAAATAAAAGAGATATTTGACTTTTTATGTTTGCAACCTTATATTTGACTTTTTTACTCATCCCGTTTATAATTACCCGATTACGATTTATAATTACTTGGTCTGAATAGTTACAGTTACCCCATGCAACCAGTTACATTTATCCGATCAACCAATCAGAGATACCCGCACAACCAGTTACAGTTATCCGATCAACCAATCACACATACCCGCACAACCAGTTACAGTTACCTAACCCGACAGTTAAAATTAACCAACAACATCAATTATATTTAACCGGACCGGCCACTTATAGTGTTACAGTTACTCGAACCTACTAGTTACAATGACCCGAACCTACCAGTTACAGTTACCAAACCCGCCTAGTTACACTGACCCGGTCCTATAGTGACCACGGTAGCCAAACCGCCGCCCACCACGCTGGTTGCTTCATTGGGGTGTCCCTCCCCTGTCCCATAGCCTACCTTCCTCAGTCCCAGCTTCCCTAACTAGTCCCACCCCCTTTAGTGGTCCAGTCCTCCTGGTCGCCGCCTTCCCGGCGGTGACTGTCGCCGCTCTAGAACCTTGTAGCGGACCAGCCCCCTCCCAAGCCCTAACCCTCTCTCCACCATCCCCAATCATCGCACCCCACCCCACATCTATAGTTAATGTCCACCCAAATCAACCGCACTGGCGCCCAAATCAACTGCACCATCGCCCAAATCAATCTTATCGCCGCCCAAATCAACCCCATCGCTTCCCAAACCAACTACACCGCAGCCCCAAATCAATTGCACCACCAGGATCCGGAACCTCATATCGGCGGACACCCTGGCCTGGAGCGATTAGGCGGTGTACGAATAGAAAAGAAGGAGAAAGTGAGACGAACAGGCTTGACAGGGCCAGTGGCGGCGTATGACGGAGTTTAAACGGCCAACACCGTTGTGCCGAAATTGAGGTTGTGTGCCTTGGATGATGGATTGTTGTGGGGTTCATGTAACAAATGAGGAAGGCAAAGAACGAAGCACTGAACAAGCGCAGGAAAGGAAGACCGTACAGATGGGTAATTTAGTCCTGTCGTTAATAACGAGTCTCTTTATAGTCCATATTAAGTTAGGTCTTTTTTGTCAATTAGAAAGTCATAAGTATTATTCCAGTCATTATTTCCAACTGTAATACTACGTACATTGTAAATGAAAATGTTATAGGTTACTAAAAATTAAAAATTATGTGTAGAAATTATTATTGCATGACAAAATTAAAACGGAAGCAATATTTCAGTACTACACATGATATGCTTCTTTGAGTTTCCATCAATAAGCCAAACATTTAGTCTATATCTTGCATCAGGAATAAAATACTTTTATAGCTACTGCCATAGCAAAAAAAATGATTAGTCATAATCCAAGTAATTAATAGGATGATGTACACAATACAATATTTCAGAAGTCTGAAATAGTCCTAAAAAAACCCACCTTCCATGATTCCATGAAGAATAAACTCATCCAAACATAATGTTCATGCAATGGTACGTGATCACATATCGATATAAATACTTGTTAATCATATACTCTGTATGTTGCATCATACACAACAAGAGCGTGTTGCATAAATGGTACCTTAACTATGAGTAATGTTGCATTTTGGTACCTTAACTCTTAAATGAATCAAAACGGTAACTTAACTATACATAAATGTTTCAAATTGAGATTTTATTCAAAATTTTAACAAAAAAGTCCTTTATGACGATCAAAATTTCAGAATATTCTCAATCTCTCCTTTATGAGCTCTAAACCATTTGCATTCATATTGTATTTCTCCATCTCTCCATGCCAGGGGCGGAACCACCATAGAGCCCGGAGGTGCCCGTGCCCCTGCAGTGAATTATTTTTCTTTTAAATATATATATACATATTTTAATTTTTATTAATTTGAGCCCCTGCAGCCCAATCCCAATTCCCCCTTTCTCTTGTTTGTCCGGTTCAATCTCACTTCCCTCTTCCCCAGCAGCCCAATCCATTAAGGCTCAACAGCTCAACTCAAGCCCAGCTTCCCTTTTCCCTTAGCCCCCATATCGCTTCGGCAGTTCGGCAGTTCGGCAGAATCGGCGTTTCAAACTCACATCAGTCTGCAGCAAGCCATCAACTCTAGCAACTTAGCGAAGGCCGACGGACTGTGAGCACCTCAACGACGGCCGACGGCAACTGTGAGCATCTCTGCGACGGTCGATGGAGACTGACTAGTGATTTCTTTGTTATTGTGCCCCTGCGAGTCACGGGTAGGGCTGAGCAAAACCCGATCCGACCCGAAAAACCCGATATTTTTTTGGATATTATCCGAACTGAAGTGGATATCCGACCCGAAAAACCCGAAACCGAAAATCCGATTAGTATTGGGCCTAGACCGGGTGGCGGGTAGGGTTTGTGAAATCCCAACCCGACCCGCCCGTATATCCGAAATATATGTTAGTGTGTACTTTGAATATTTAAATTAATACTTGTGTTCAATTATTTGTGTAATTATTTGTGCAATTTGTATTAAATTATTTGTGTAAATTGAATGTGTAGTGAACTAGTGTGTACAATTTTTGTTAACGTGGCATTCCAACACATTAACTTAAAGTATAATGTGTTTTGATATAACCAAAATATCCGAAATATATTAAATTATGTAGTGTGTACTTTGAATATGTTAAATTAACACTTGTGTTCAATTATTTGTGTAATTATTTGTGCAATTTGTGTTAAATTATTTGTGTAATTTGGAGGTTTAGTGCACCAGTGTGTATAATTTTTGTCAAAGTGGCATTTAAACACTTTAATTATCCAATTATAATTTTTTTAATATAACCGAAATATCTGAAACCCGACCCGATATCCGATAACATCCGACTTAAAAATATCCGAAATACCCAATTTGAAATATCAAAGGGTCGGGCCTAGTACTTAAATTAAAAAACCCGAACGGGTTTAGGGTTCGCAAACCCGACCCGCCCGAACCCGACCCGTGCACACCCCTAGTCACGGGTCCTGGTTCCGCCACTACTCCATGCTGAAAAGAAGGATTATAGTTCGGCCTGGACGTGCTGGCCTGCTCCTGGAAACTCCTGGCCGGCTGTAGGAGGTGATGGGGCTGCACCGGGAAACTGCTGGGCAGCGGGCTGTGGTCCATAGTACGGCTGCCTGAACTGTTGGCCATAGTGATGGCGTCCACAGTCACGTCCACCTCTGTTGTGGCCTCCTCTGCTGCGGCCACCACGTCCTCTAGGAGAATGAACCTGTTGCGGTGGCTGCTGTCCCATGGCACAAAACGCTTGATGGATGGGAGATGAAGCTTGTTGACGATTAAACAACACCCGTTGTTCGGCTTCCATGAGACGAGATTGCAATACCTCAAAGGGAAATTGATCGGAGAAAAGCATAACGGTTCCCACCAAAGATTCATATTCAGGACCCAATCCACTATTAACAACACCGATTCAAGTAATTCTTTGGCCGAAACCGGGGCATGAACCGCAGCATGAGCATCAACCAAATTTTTAATATCCCGGAGATAGTGCTCCATAGATTGATTTTCCCTCTTTTTAAGACTAGATAACTGACACTTTAATTTCATACAACGAGGTAAGCTAGCAGACATGAATCGAGTTTGTAATCTATCCCAAATTCCAAAAGTGTTTAATATCATGCACGTCAACTAAGACATCACGAGTAAGAGTAGCAAACAACCAAGAACGAATTGTTTGGTCTATCCTTAGCCAATGATGGTACTCGGTATTTGTAACACTTGAGATTTAATTTAAACGGATTAATAGTACTACTCATACTGTGAACAAGTATTGTTGTATTTCATATACTTCATTATAAAGTACTATACAAGAAGCTATATTTATAGCTGTATTTAGAGTACTAAGGTTGTAACACCGTCCCCAAATATATTTACTTTTATGTAAATAATGTATTGAACCTTATTAAAGGATTTACGAATTTACGAAGTTGTAAATTTTTATTATTTCGTTCGCGTGAATAGTAAATTGCACGTGGGACCCACACCAGGGGCGGGGGCCGCCCGGCATTTCCGAGACTATATATTTTATTCATCTTGGTCTAGATAATAAATATATAGTGGTGGATATTTCATTTGGGCAATGGAAAGGCCCAGAGTTGACCGATTGGTCAAAAGAAGCCCAAATTACCGGTACTGGTAATTTAACAGATATCAGCCCGGAAATGAAATTCGGAGACTCCTAAATCAATGTTTTGGAATATATACTATTTCAAAAGTCCATTACGATTGAGGACACGTAATATATTTTATTTTACCCGATAAAATAAAATATGATTAAAACAGTCCGAAAAATACAACTTTCGGGACCGATTGTACACCTCGGGACACAAAGGGATGACCTCCCACATGAGTGGGGGCCATCCCACGTTTTATTAGCTCCATGTGACCCCTTGGGAGCTGCAAGGACAAGGGAAGGTGGGAGGAAGGTCAACCATGTGGTAGGATGGGACCCTTTTCCCCCATAATTGGTGAGATGAGCCAAAAAGGCCATCCTATCACCCCCTCACCCCAATAGCTCGACCAAGCCACCCAAGAAAGAGAAAGAAAGGCTCTCCAACCCTCCTCCATTGCTGCAACTCGAGCTCAAGCAAGAAAGGTCCAAGGAGTGGGATTAAAGAAGGAAAAAGGGCTAGGAAAAGTGTGTAAATCAAGGTAATGACCTTATTATAACTTCTCCTTTATTTTTCTTCTACCATATAAGATATATATCATGTGAAGGATCCTTAAGAGGGTTCTACATGTTATGAGTATGGATTTATGGGTTGGGAAGTGATTCTATGTCCAAGAACGGACTTAGAAGTCAAAACGACCGGTTCACCGGAAAATAACCTTTTTGAGGTTATTTGTATTAACATGGGTTTTATGATTATAAAACCTTGTTAGGCACTTGTGAAGGGTATTTCAAGTGATTTCACAAAGTTGGAAAAGTCGCCGGAATTGTCGCCGGAGTTGACCAAAAGTCGCCGGAGTTTCACCGGAGTTCAACCAAGAAGGGTAGAACTTCTTAACGCTAGTTCAAGGTGAGTGGACGGCTTAATATCTTATAACTTTTGGGTCAATTATGAGATTACCTAAATGAATGTTATATGTGTTCATAATGATGTTTAAAAGATATTTAAACATGTGATTAGCCAACATAGTTAAGTTTGTATGAAAGAAATAGATTGTTTATGCATAGAATATGATATGAAGAATTATATAGAATGCATATTTGCTTGAAGTGTATTAGAAGCACAAATGAATATTTTAACTTAATTATGTGATGATTAAGTCGATTTGTACAAGGTTTGTAATGGCGGTCAACGACCACGTTGACCGGTGGATAATGGATTAATTAATACCGGTCGATATTAATTAATTGTACATTTACATAATTGCATGGCTTTGCATGGAATGTGATACATAAGTTTTATGTATTGAATTAGTTATGAATGGCTAAATATGATATAGACCCTATCTAGTGTGATATGTGGTAAGTCATAGGTCGGGTGGAGTACCCAAGGATCGGGCGGTTATCCTCAAAACTCGGTTATATAGGGTGGAGTACCCAAGGATCGGGCGGTTATCCTCAAAACTCGGTTATATAGGGTGGAGTACCCAAGGATCGGGCGGTTATCCTCAAAACTCGGTTATATAGGGTGGAGTACCCAAGGATCGGGCGGTTATCCTCAAAACTCAATTATAGGGTGGAGTACCCAAGGATCGGGCGTGTATCCTCAAAACTCATAGATTACATTTAATGATCTAGGACCGGGCGGTGTCCTTATGATAATTTATTTGACCAAGGAGGAGTTCTATACACTCATAGGTATATGGGTGGGTTGGGATTTAAGTCAAGGATATTGGCTACTATTATTTTCCCAAATAAACAATGACCTACGGGTCGGGTATTTCCAAGTGTATGTATACTAATATGTATTTCAAACTTGGGGGAAGGACTATACGTATATGTATCATCCTATGTTTGGGTCTTATACTTGAAACGCTAGTTATTCTATATTTAGCCTGCTACTCGCTCGGTACTTGTACTGACCCCTTCGGGGGGCCCCACCATTTTCAGGTTGAAGCTAGGGCTTGCTACCTGCACCTTTCTACGGGTGACATCAATCAAGGAAGACGTGGTTCGTGCTTCCTCATTTTATTTCAAATTACCAAACATTGCTCATGGATATTTTTATTTGTCATAAACTATTCTTTTGGGGCTTGCATGCCCATGTTATTGGCCGGTTGTGGCTTATGACTTACCGTTGAATATTTCCGCTATTCATTGGTTTAAATGTGATGTTGTTATGTATGTTTACTACTGAGTATGGGTGGATTATTTTCTCGAACGCCTTGTGTAATCAAGTGAGGTTGACTCGCGGGTGACGTCACTTGATTATGCGGCGGTTGTACACGCGCTTGGATTGCGGTCTGGGGCGTGACAATTAAGTGGTATCAGAGCCATCTCAGTTCTAAACTATATAATCAACCTCTCACATGAGATTTTACGAAAGAGTTTTTACCGAAAACCATGAGCATTGGATTTTGACGTTATGGGACTATTGGAGCCTAAGTTGCAAGGCCTCTAATTGTTAAGACGGTACCCTTAACAATTGGTATGGTGGTGACTTAGACCAATACGTGTCTGTAACGTCCTTCCGTCAATTGACATTTATAGGAGTCTAATGACTCATCCATATTTCTTTCAGAAATGGAGGGCAGGCGAATGCGGACCAGGAACAATCCGAGGGGGCAGGCGCCGGTAACATCCCAAAGGGGAAGCCGGGCTGCATCTCGGGGTTCAAGAGGAGGCCGTGGAGGCCGTGGAAGCCGTGGAGGTCATCAAGCTCAAACTGTGAGTGATGGCCATGTAAGCTCGGTGTATGAAACCAACACCGAGGACTATGACTCTACGTATGTTCCTGAGACAGAGCATGAGGAGACCCCATATGATGGGGGTGACACATACACCGATGAGGACAATGATGAAAGTGATGCCCGCTTCGCCCAAATGGGTGAATTACTTGAGTGGTATCAAAAGGAGAAACAGAGGAGAGACCTTAGGCGCCAAGCGAGGCGTGGCTCTCGTGGTGGTTCGGGTCAAGGGAGCCGGGGAGCTTCCGTGGCCACCCCAGCGGCGTCACAAGGTGGGCGTGAAGGAGGTTTTGTTGTGAGAATCTCCAAGTACCTCAAGGAGGCTAGGGCCTTGGGGTGTAGGTCCTTTGACGGCACCGGTGACATTACCGTTGCCGCCGATTGGATTAAGAAGGTGAAGGATGCATCAAGAGACATGCAAATCACACCGGACGTGAAGTTGACTGTCGCTTCACGGCTACTTGAAGGGATAGCCTCTACGTGGTGGGAGAGCGTGGAAGGGAAGTACCATGGGGAAATAACATGGGCGGACTTTGAGCTAGAGTTCTATGCTCAATACTACTCCGAGTACGAGGTGAATGTGAAACGGAGAGAGTACACTAACCTCAAACAGAAAGATGGCGGCACGGTTAAGCAGCTGGAACAAGAGTTTAGAACCTTGGCGAGGTTCTTGCCAGAGTACGCGGTTGATGAGAACCGCATGACGGAGCACTTCTGGGATGCATTACTCTTGGACATCCGCGACCGAGCTACATACTCTCGCCACATGTCATTTAGCGAGGTGGTGGAACAGGGCCTTCTTGGAGAGGCCCAGTGGAATGAGAGGAAAGCAAGGGACGCCGAAGAGGCGAAGAAGAGGAAGTGGAATAATTCGGGGCCACCCGATCATTCTCGAAGAAACAACCACGGGGGTGGTGGTGGTGGCGGTGGTTCATTCAAGGCGCCGGCCCCACCGGCAAAGAAGAACAGGGATGCGAGGTGGCACGGACCTAGGCCACAGAACTCGGGGCCACCTAGATGTCCCAATTGCTCAAAACAACACTTTGGGAAGTGCAATGAACCACCGAGGTGTTTTAAGTGCGGGAATGCGGGCCATATGAAGGCCAATTGCCCTCAATTGATGCAAGAGAGTGCCTCGGGAGCCGGGGGAGGGACCATGACGGGAAGGAACCGTGCGGGACCGTCAAACGGCGGCACGGGAAGAGGCGGCGCATCCACAAGTCATGCCGCATCCGTCAACCAAGGTGGGACCCAAGCCCGAGTGTACGCGATGACCGAGGCGGATGCGAGAGCAAACCCGGACTCCGTTGCAGGTAATACACGTATTCCCATGTATTTCTAGGCTTACTTTGATCAGATACGTCGTTGAGATTGAGTGCGGGCCACCCCGGGGTCGAACCGGGTGAGTTAGGCCAAATCGGACTGGAAACAGCCACTGCTGGCCAGGCACGCCCGCAGGCACGCCGTGCCTGGCGTCGTGCCTGGAGGGCAGTGGCACCCGAAGAGAAAGAAAAAAAAAAAAAAAAATTGGGCCAGGCACGGCCGCAGGCACGCCGTGCCTGGCGTCGTGCCTGGAAGGCAGTGTCGCCCCGAAGGAATTCGGCCAGGCACGGCCGCAGGCACGCCGTGCCTGGCACCGTGCCTGGGAGGCAGTGTTGAACAGGAAGGATCCGATGCACGCACGGCCGTGCGTGCCACCCAGGCACGCCGTGCGGGGACCCCAGAACCCGGAAATCGGATTTTTCCGCCCCGTTCTTCTACGTTTGGACTCCCGTTTGATTCCAAACATTAGTATGAGCCTAATAACCTCCTAAAGAGGTGTAAAAACATTAGAAAATGTATCTTACATGGTGTATAAATGTAGGAACATTAAAGATCAATGGTAGGTGTGCGAGGATCCTCATCGATACCGGGGCACAACGCTCATTTGTGAGTGAGGCGTTCGCCGAGGGCTTTGACGTGCCATTGACACCTATGACTCAAACGTTGCTAGTCTCCACACCGTTAGGAGACGACGTGGAAAGAAATCATTACTATCCGTCGTGTGAGGTAGAAGTGACGGGTCAACCTTTGACTTGTGATTTCGTACCTCTAAGCATGTTGGAGTTTGATGCAATCCTAGGAATGGATTGGCTCGAGAAACACCATGCCCGGGTAGATTGCTACACCAAGGTGTTGGAGCTCGAGGATGGTCAAGGGAACACGCTATGTTTCGAGGGAGATCGGGGGAAATCTAATGCTTGTATCATATCCGTGATGAGGGCACGAAAGATGATGAGGAAGGGATGCCACGCATACCTTGCATATGTGGTAGATGATACGAAGAAAGAAGTCGACATCAAGGATGTTCGAGTCGTGTGCAAGTACCCGGACGTCTTTCCCAAGGACCTACCGGGGCTTCCACCCGATAGAGAGATTGAATTTGTAATCGAAGTGGAGCCGGGAACCAAACCCATTTCGATTCCTCCTTATCGAATGGCGCCGGCCGAACTCCAAGAGTTGAAGGTCCAACTACAAGAATTACTGGACAACGGGTTCATCAGACCCAGTCATTCACCGTGGGGAGCACCCGTACTCTTCGTAAAGAAGAAAGATGGTACACTTAGAATGTGTATCGACTACCGACAGTTGAACAAGGTCACCATCAAGAACAGGTATCCCTTACCGAGGATTGATGACTTGTTCGATCAACTTCGAGGGGCAATAGTGTTCTCGAAGATTGACTTGAGGTCGGGGTATCATCAGTTGAAGATCAAGGAGAGTGACATACCTAAGAGTGCATTTCGCACTAGATATGGTCATTACGAATTCCTGGTGATGTCGTTTGGTTTAACCAACGCACCGGCGGCATTCATGGACTTGATGAACCGTGTGTTTAGTGAATACTTAGATCAATTTGTGATAGTATTCATTGACGACATCTTGATATACTCCAAGAGCGAGGAAGAGCACGAACACCATTTGAAGCTTGTACTTGATCGGCTAAGGGAAAAGCAACTCTTCGCCAAGTTCTCCAAATGCGAATTTTGGCTCAAAGAGATTGGTTTCCTCGGTCATGTCATATCCGGTTCAGGTGTTGCTGTGGATAACGCCAAGATAAAAGCGATCATGGATTGGGAGAGGCCCAGGAATGCGAAGGAGATACGTAGTTTCCTTGGCTTAGCGGGGTACTATCGTAAATTTGTTGAGAAATTCTCCGTATTGGCGTCTCCATTAACGAAGCTCACAAAGAAAGGGGCCAAGTTCATATGGGACGATAAGTGCGAGAAGGGGTTCCTTGAATTGAAGAAACGACTTACCGAAGCACCAGTCCTGGCCCTACCCATACAGGGTATAGGGTACGACATTTACAGCGATGCTAGCATCCAAGGGCTTGGATGTGTACTAATGCAAAACGGTAAGGTGATTGCCTATGCTTCTAGGCAATTGAGGAAACACGAGGTGAACTACCCTACTCACGATCTAGAGTTGGGGGCGGTGGTGTTTGCATTGAAGATTTGGAGACATTATCTCTACGGGGAGACGTGTCACATTTATACTGACCATAAGAGCTTGAAGTATGTATTCACTCAGAAAGAGTTGAATATGAGGCAGAGGAGATGGATGGAGTTGATCAAGGACTATGACTTGATCATCGACTATCATCCCGGAAAGGCCAATGTAGTGGCCGACGCACTGAGCAGGAAGAGTACGTCAGGGACGCTACTCACATGTCTACAAGCATTGAGGGCACACGTGGAGGTATCCACGAGCGGGGCGCTCATTGCTAGATTCGAGGTGAGGCCTACATTGCTGAGCGAGATCAGTAGATGTCAGGCCATTGATGAGGAATGTCAGAAGATCCGCGAACGGATCCTTGAGGGGCCCGTCGAGAATTTTCGGGTACGCGATGACGGCCTTTTATTATTTAAGGATCGTGTGTGCATACCAAAGAATGAGGAGCTCCAGAAGGCTATACTTGAGGAGGCTCATTCTTCAGCATATGCCATGCATCCAGGGGGTACTAAGATGTACCGAGATCTGAAGGAAAGTTACTGGTGGTCAGGCATGAAGAAGGATATCGCAGAGTTTGTGAGTCGATGCCTTACTTGCCAGCAAGTTAAGGCAGAGCATCAGCACCCAGCAGGGCTCTTACAACCACTCGCCATCCCAGAGTGGAAGTGGGAACATGTGACCATGGACTTCGTGGTGGGGCTGCCACGAACAGTGAACAACTACGATGCAGTATGGGTAGTGGTTGATAGGCTCACCAAGAGTGCACACTTTCTGCCTATCAACATTACTTATCCTCTTGAAAGATTGGCCAAGCTATACACGGAGGAGATTGTGAGATTACATGGAGTCCCAATATCCATTGTCTCGGATAGGGATCCACGATTCACATCCCGATTTTGGCCAAAGTTTCAAGCATCTTTGGGGACTAAACTGAAGTTTAGCACAGCTTTTCACCCACAGACGGATGGACAGTCCGAGCGGGTGATACAGATTTTGGAAGACATGCTTAGGGCATGTGCTTTGGAGTTCCAAGGAAGTTGGGACAAGCATTTGGCCCTAGTAGAGTTTGCCTATAACAACAGTTATCAGGCAAGTATCGGCATGCCCCCATATGAGGCATTGTATGGGAGGAAGTGCAGAACACCATTGTGTTGGGACGAGGTTGGCGAGGCCAAACTCGAAGGGATAGAGCTAGTTGAGATCACCAAGGCCAAGGTGAGGATCATTCGGGATAGATTGAAGGCCGCTCAGGACCGGCAGAAGAGTTATGCTGATAAACGGCGGAGACCGTTGGAGTTCGAAGTCGGTGATGAGGTCTTCCTAAGGATTTCTCCTTGGAAGGGCATCATCCGATTCGTATCGAGGGGGAAGCTTAACCCCCGATACATAGGTCCGTTTGAGATCCTTGAAAGGATCGGGGCCGTGGCTTATCGTCTCAAGTTGACGCCTGAACTTGAGAAGATACATGACGTGTTTCATGTATCAATGCTCAAGAAGTACATACGAGACCCATCTCATATTCTTGAGAAACCACCGGTAGAGATCCGTGAGGACTTGCAATATGCGGTGGAACCAGTGAAGATTGTTGGTCAACAAGTGAAGAAGCTTAGGAATAAGGAAATTCCTATGGTAAAGGTTCTTTGGAGGAGTGATCGAGTCGAAGAAGAAACTTGGGAGACCGAGGTCTCAATGAGGGAGCAATACCCACTTCTTTTCGATTAGATACTTGGATTTCGGGGACGAAATCCCAAATAAGGGGGGGTGAACTTGTAACACCGTCCCCAAATATATTTACTTTTATGTAAATAATGTATTGAACCTTATTAAAGGATTTACGAATTTACGAAGTTGTAAATTTTTATTATTTCGTTCGCGTGAATAGTAAATTGCACGTGGGACCCACACCAGGGGCGGGGGCCGCCCGGCATTTCCGAGACTATATATTTTATTCATCTTGGTCTAGATAATAAATATATAGTGGTGGATATTTCATTTGGGCAATGGAAAGGCCCAGAGTTGACCGATTGGTCAAAAGAAGCCCAAATTACCGGTACTGGTAATTTAACAGATATCAGCCCGGAAATGAAATTCGGAGACTCCTAAATCAATGTTTTGGAATATATACTATTTCAAAAGTCCATTACGATTGAGGACACGTAATATATTTTATTTTACCCGATAAAATAAAATATGATTAAAACAGTCCGAAAAATACAACTTTCGGGACCGATTGTACACCTCGGGACACAAAGGGATGACCTCCCACATGAGTGGGGGCCATCCCACGTTTTATTAGCTCCATGTGACCCCTTGGGAGCTGCAAGGACAAGGGAAGGTGGGAGGAAGGTCAACCATGTGGTAGGATGGGACCCTTTTCCCCCATAATTGGTGAGATGAGCCAAAAAGGCCATCCTATCACCCCCTCACCCCAATAGCTCGACCAAGCCACCCAAGAAAGAGAAAGAAAGGCTCTCCAACCCTCCTCCATTGCTGCAACTCGAGCTCAAGCAAGAAAGGTCCAAGGAGTGGGATTAAAGAAGGAAAAAGGGCTAGGAAAAGTGTGTAAATCAAGGTAATGACCT